ATGACATAAAATAATAAAATGACATAAAATAGACTAGTGTGAAGATCTAAATTTTATCCTTAGCTAGTGAAATTCATGCCTTCTTGCAGAATGTCTGCACTGTTGCACTAATCCACATGGACATCTTTTAATGTTCACCTTTGATCATCCTGCAGGGTGTATCTCACTATAACTACTTCTGAAAAACTACTTACAGTCAACATTTAAGTGCCGTTTAATGCACTGTCTTTTAACAAAATGAGTAAGCTCTCAAGTGGATAAAACCTAAATGGATCTGTGGACACTGAACTTGGTATGTAAAGAAGTAGTTACAGAAACAAAATGTATGCCGGAAAGGGCTCTGTCCCCGGGTCGGCAACACCCTTTGAAGTGTCTTTCTGTCCCAGAGAGGGTTGCACTATCAACCTGAACACACTGCAAGGCTTCCAATATCAACTGGCAAAAGTCAACTTTCCAAAGACCAAACACCCCAAATGACATACACCTCTGAGCCATATTTTAGATAAGCATTTATCACTGCATTTCATGTGGCTGCAATATAAAACTAATTTTAATGTTAACTAACAAAAATTTAATGTCAAGCAATTATTTGTAAACAGCCCATCTGTTCCATTCTGTGTGAGATGGAACTAAGACATGCCTGTCACCTTCAATTTCAGATAAAGTTTTTATAAAAATAAAATTTGCTATAGTTTTTCACACATGCATTTGAACCACACTGAGACTGTTCAGCAGTCAGATGGAGAGCAGCTGAGATCTTTCATCAGCAAATGGCCACTATGGCCACAGCTGGACCTGTCCAAAGCTAGGACCCAAGAGTTTTTTCCAGTTCTCCCACATGAGGGCAGGAGTCAAGGCACTTAGGCCACCTTCTGCTGCTTTCCAGGCCCATTAGTAGGAAACTGGATTGGAAGTGGAGTAGCCAGGACAGGAACTGGTAATCATGTGAGATGCTGTGGGCACTGTAGGCAGCATCTTACCCTCTATGCCACAGCACAGGCCCCAAAATAATCTAGTCTTAAATAAACAGTTATACAAACATAGTTTAAAATAAGAATATTTGAGAGAAAGATTTAATACTAAACCACAAATACCCAAAACACAGCCAATGGAAAGACAAATTTGTACCACACCACCTGCCTTGTTTCTTCTTAACATTGATCTTAAAATTTTTGACACCCATTTGAAAACTACAAATCTCTCCCCCAAACGAACACAGAAAATTTTACAGGCAAACTCAAGAGGTCTATTCACCTCCAGAAACTCATCTATGGATTCCCAAGATTTTACCTTCCCTTATTTTTGTATTCAGCCTAAGTATGTACGTTGACATTTTCCACACTGTCTATACACTGTCCCAAATCTTTAGCACATATGTAGTCAAAAATAAACTCACAGTTGAGTCAAAAAACAGCAAGAGTAGCATCCATTCTTATTTTTTTAAAGATTTATTTATTTTTATTGGAAAGGCAGATATTTATAGAGGAGGAGAGACAGAGAGGAAGATCCATCTGACAGTTCACTCCCCAAGTGACCACGATAGCCAAAGCTGTGCCAATCTGAATCCAGGAAACAGGAGCTTCTTCCGGGTCTCCCACGCTGGTGCAGGGTTCCAAGTCCTTGGGCCGTCCTCGACTGCACTCCCAGGCCATAAGCAGGGAGCTGGATGGGAAGCAGAGCTGCTGAGATTAGAACCGGCATCCATATGGGATCCAGACATTTTAAAGGTGAGAACTTAAGCCATTAGGCTACTGCACCAGACCCCCAAAGCAGCCATTTAAGGAGTAAACCATTAGCCGAAACATCTATGTCTCCCTACCTCTCTGTAACTCTGCCTTTGACAAAAATAAGATAAATTTTGGAAGAAAAAAGTTTGTTATCGGGTCATAATTTTTCTTTTTACTAATCAAACATACAGAATAACCCATTGTAATATTTTGTTTAGACCATCAAGAGCAACAACTATGTCCATTTCACTCTTTAAACACACAAAAAAATAGCTTATCAGTCTTAGTCTGGGGACATCTGGATTAAGGGAATAGCCTATTTTTAAAAACAAATATGATGCTTCTTGGGAATTAGGCCAGCCCACACCCTTAACCTTGGAATGGGTAGCATATTTCAAGCCACCACCATACACACTACACTGTCTTGATGTAGAGGCTTGCACCCAGCCTTGGGAAGACTCTAGTCAACCCTTCATCTTTTTCTTTTTTTTTAAGATTTATTTATTTTATTGGAAAGTCAGATATACAGAGAGGAGGAGAGATAGAGAGGAAGATCCTCCATCCAGATGATTCACTCCCCAAGTGAGCACAATGGCCGATGCTATGCTGATTCGAAGCCAGGATCCAGGAACTTCTTCCGGGTATCCCACGCGGGTGCAGGGTCCCAAAGCCTTGGGCCATCCTCAACTGCTTTCCCAGGCCACAAGCAGGGAGCTGGATGGGAAGTAGAGCTGCTGGGATTAGAACCAGCGCCCATATGGGATCCTGGCGCGTTCAAGGCAAGGACTTTAGCTGCTAGGCCATGCCGCCGGGCCCGTCAACCCCTCATCTTAACCAGAAGGTATTCCAGGCAGTATTGCTGAAAAGGCCATAGAAAACCAGGAAACTGTAGATGCCTAACATTTCTGCTTTCACTTACATTTAAAAAAAAAAAAAGTTAAGGCACAGGTTGAGTGAAATAAAGATCCAAGCAAAAATGGAAGGCAAAGATACCCAGCATTCCACAGGCTGCTTGGAGCAACACAGGACTGGGCAGCAGTGGTCTGCTGGACCCTGGCAGACAGAGCCAACAAACGCATCCTTGCTGAGGTTTAGTTAGTGTGGCTGAACATACAGAAGAGAGTGACCACTGGGGTAGGGTTATTGTTCAAATATCATGAACAATTACATCTCATGAACCTCTGTGAGAATTCAGTAAATCACCATCTTAAAAGTAATGGGACTGTGTCATTAAAACTGCTAAGGAGCCTGAACTGTGTATCATAAGAAATTAAGCCATAGCTTACAATGCTGACATTCCAAATAAGCACCAGTTCTAGCCCTGGCTACTCCACTTCTGATCCAGCTCCGTGCTATTAACCTGGGAAGGCAGCGGAAGATGGCCCAAGTACAGTGCCCCTCCACCCACATGGGAGACCTGAAAGAAGGTCCAGCTCCCAGCTTCAGGCCAACCCAGCTCTTGAAGTTGTGGCCACTTACAGAGAGAGTCAGTAGATAAAGATCTCTCTCTCTCTCTCCCTCTGTACAACTCTTTCAATTAAAACAAACAACTATAAAATAAATAAGCAAGCAAATGCTGCAAGGGCTAGTATTATAGTATAGTAGGTTAAACTGCAGCCTGTGACACTGGTATCTCATATAGGCACAAGTTCGAGTCTTAGTTTTTCCAGTTCAAATCCAGCTCCCTGATGATGTACTGGGGAAAGCAGCAGATGGCCAAAGTCCATGGGCCCCTGCACCACATGGAAAATTCAGAGGAAGTTCCTGGCTCCTGGCTTTGGTCTGGCCCAGTCTTCATCAATGCAGCCATTTGGGAAATGTGCCAAACAATGGAGGATTGATCTCTCTCTTAGTAACTTTACATCAAACAAATAAAACAAATTTAAACAACTAGGCAAATAAAACTGTTGCTACTCAAAACAAGTGACTCCTGTGTTCCTTGTTCATGTTCATGTCTCCTACCATCTGCAACAGAGTAACAGCCTTATTTTATCTCTTCTGATCATAAAGGTAAAACGGATTTATGCAGCAACCATTTCTATCAATTCCTACATTTCAGTCTTTCACATGCTTCAACTATCATCTACAGGGAAGGCATTAAGAGTATAATAGGGAAGATATTTACTTATGAGGCCGGCATTGTGGCACACTGAGTTAAGCTGCTAGCAGGAACTCTGGCATCCCAGAGTGCCAACCATGTCCCGGCTGCTTTACTCACAGTCCACCTTCCTAATAATGCACCGAGGTAAGCAAAGCAGGTGGCCTGAGGACTTGGGTTCCTGCTGCCCTGACATGAGAACTCAACAGAGCTCTGAGCTCCTGGCTTTGGCTCAGCCCCATTGCTCCCATTTGAATAAGCCAGCAGATGAAAGACGGAGCTGTATGTCACTCTGCCTTTTAATTTAAACATATATATATATATATATATATGCCTTCAAATAATTACTGCTTGATTTCAACTTTCATAAGCTTAAAATCCGACTGGAGTGTAAGATCCCTGTGTAAAGAGTAAGTCAGGACTGCCAAACAAAACAAATGCTGAGGGCCCTGACTGTGACACAGCACATCCCACAGCACAGTGCTGGTTCTAGGCCAGCTACTGATGTAGCTCCTCACTAATGCATTGGAAAGCAGTGGATGGTGGCTAAGAAAATACTGCTACCCAAGACTTAGATGGAGACTTAGATGGAGCTGCTAGCTCCTGGATGGTTTGCTGGATCTGCTCTGGCCCAGCTTCCATTTCTGCAGGCATCCGGAAAGTGAACTAGAAGGTGCAAGAGGTATACATATCACACTTGATCTTAGCCAAAAGGCCAAGAAGCTATGCAAGAAGTATACATATTTTTTAACTGTAAATTATCTGGGCCTGGCATGACGACCCAGTGGCTAAATCCTTGCCTTGCATGTGCTGGGATCCCATATGGGTGCTGGTTCATGTTCTGGCTGCTCCACTTCCCATCTAGCTCCCTGCTTGTGGCCTGGGAAAGCAGCACACGGCCCAAGGCCCTGGAACCCTGCACCTGTGTGGGAGACCTGGAAGAGGCTCTGGGCTTCGGATCAGCTCAGCTCTGGCCATTACAATCACCTGGGGAGTGAACAGCAGATGGAAGATATTTTTCTCTGTCTCTCCTTCACTCTGTGAATCTGACTTTCCAATAAAAATAAATAAACCTTTAAAAAAAATCACATGAGTTCCAGGCTTCATATCTCATTCTGTTTCTCAATGAACACATACCCTGGGGAGGCTCAAACACCTGTATATCCATCACTCACCTGAGAAGCTCAGTTGAGGTTCCCAGCTCCCAAGCTTGGCTTGGCCCAGCCATGGCTTTTGCAGGCATCTGGGGAACAAACCCATTGATGAAAAACCTCTCTCTCTGCCTTTCAAATATATAAAATGAAAAATAAAATAAATGTAAAAGTGTACAGAAAACAATGAAAATATAAATTTTGGTGAAAAACACTGAAACTAAGAACAGTTTCTTCATAGTATATATTTTCTTTAATTAAAAAAGAAGTTTATTTATTTGTTTGAAAGAGTTATGGAGAAAGGAAAAACAAGCTCTTCCTTCTGCTGGTTCACTCCCTAGATGACTGCAGCAGCTAGACTTGGGCCAGGACACAGCCAAGGGACATGCGCTTCTCCGGGGCTTCCATGTGGGTAGCAGTGGTCCAACACTTGGGCCATCTCCTGCTGCTTTCCCAAGCCATTAGTAGGGAGCGGGATCAGAAGCAGAGCAGCCAGCACCCCCAGCGCCCAAGGGAATGCTGGTGTCATAGGCCATGGTCTTACCCAGCACACTATCACACCAGCTCCTGCACTTCCCATGCATTTGTGGAAAGCCCTTCTTAGATCCACCTTGCCCTTGCCAGTGACTGGAGGTGGACCTTGACCAAGTACTAAGTGGTGGGACTTAAGCGGAGGTTGGTTAAGATGCTTCTGAAAAAGCTTTTCTAACTCTTTCTTTAAAAAGAATTTTTTTTTGAAAGGAAGAGTTCCAGATAAAAGGAGGCAAGACAGAGAGAAAGATCTTCCATCTGATGGTTCACTCTCCAAGTGGTCACAATTGCCAGAGCTATGCCAATCCTAAGCCAGGAGCCAGGATCCTCTTCCAGGACTCCCACACAGGTATAGGGTCCCAAGGCTTTGGGCCATTCTTGACTGCTTTCCCAGGCCACAAGCAGGAACCTGGATGGGAGGTGTAATAGCCAGAACATGAACCAGCACCCATATAGGATCCTGGCACTCGGAGGAGAAGTTGCCAATTGAGCCATTGCAATGCCTCCTTCCCCCTGCCTTTTATTTATTTTTATTGGAAAGGCAGATTTACAGAAACAAAGAGAGACGAAAGATGATTTTCTAGTTCTTAAAAAACATAAAGAAGAGCTCACCACCTGCTGGATGTAACACCCAACACTGTAGCATCCACCTTGCATTCATGGTGGGGGCTGGCTAAAGGACAGCACAAGCACTACAAGCTGCACAGCAGAAGGGGAGCAAGAATGGCTCCCGAGAGACATGTCTAAACTACAAGTTAAGCCAGTCCCACTGGGGCTGGTTTCGTGGTGCAGTGAATTATACATCCTGCATGAGCCCTGGCTTTAGTCCCAGGCTATTCCACTTCCAACCCACTCCCTGCCAATGCACCTGGGAAAGCAGCAGAGGATGGTGCTAGCACTTGGGTCCCTGCCACCCACATGAGAGACCTAGATGAAATTCCAGGCTCTTGGCTTCAGCCTGACCCACACTTTGCTGTTGTGGAATGAACCATTTGGGGAATGAACCAGCAGATGAAAGAGGTATTTCTCTTTAATAACTAAATAAGAAAAAAAATAATAATTGTTTAATTAAACCAGCCGCACTGAGGTATCTTTGTTGCTTGTGAGGGTAAATTTTCTTGATTTTCAAATTATCTTGAATTGATTTTCTATTACACCCTAACTCCTAGTCATGTGTGAGCTACATATGCATTTACAGGGTTATCTACTGGTCAGCTGGATAGAGGAGCCTCCAGTTAGGGAAGACAGGCTGTGGCTAGGGAAAGACGCTCCCCAATTTCCAACACACATTTAGTGGAAACTGCACTTCAGGCTTACAGTACGTAGCATGAGTGACACCGACCATCTCTGATGCTGGGCAGTGGCTCCAAGCCAAGCTCCTAACGAGGCAGCCAGGGGTAGGGCTGTGCAAACCCTAAATCCTCAACAGTGTCCCGTGCAGCTGGGCATGCTGTGCAGTGGGTTAGGGGCACAAGGGCAGGCCTAGTGTGTGATGGTTTCATAGGAGTTTAGCAGGGTGTACGCATCCCCAAATGAGGAGCATCTATGCAAAGGCAGTCGAAAAAGTTCACGGAAAACAGAATTGTAAAACCAGTTTATTTTAGTGGATAAAATATTTCAAATCTACACATAGCTTTTTCACAATGCACATTTTTCATAAGCTTTTTAAAGTACTTTCATGTTCATCAGATAGCAATGTAAAGAAAGAATTCATATTTGTGGACTGCAAAGACAGAACAAAGAGAAAGAGGCTAAACAGTAAGCTCTGGAGCACTCCCAGGATAAAGAGAAGAAATTAACAGTAAGATAAATAAAAGCACTGAAATGCAATCCATAGAAGCTAAGACATTTTAAAAAGAACTGTTTGTTTATTTGAAAGGCAGAGTTGGAGAGGGAGAGGAGAAGGGGAAAAGAGTTTACTCTTCAAATGGCTATGATAGCCAGGATTGAGCCAGGCGTGAGCCAGCCCAAGTGAGGAGCCTGGAATTCCATCAGGGTTTCCCACATGAGTGCAGGGGTCCAAAACTTGATCCATCTTCTGCTGAATTCCCCGTGCATTAGCTGGAGCTGGATATGAAGTGGACCAGCTAGGAGCTAAACTGGTGCCCATGAGATGCTGGCATTGCAGGCAGTGGCTTAACCCATATGCCACCACACTGGCTCCATGAGAAAAAACTTTTTTTTTTTTAAAGATTTATTTTTATTATTTTTTTATTGGAAAGGCGGATATACAGAGAGGAGAGACAGAGAGGAAGATCTTCCGTTCGATGATTCACTCCCCAAGTGAGCGCAACGGGTCGATACTATGCCGGTCCGAAGCCAGGAGCCTCTTCCGGGTCTCCCACACGGGTGCAGGGTCCCAAAGCTTTGGGCCGTTCTCGACTGCCTTCCCAGGCCACAGGCAGGGAGCTGGAAGGGAAGCGGGGCTGCCGGGATTAGAACCGGCGCCCATATGGGATCCCGGGCGTGCAAGGCGAGGACCTTTAACCACTTGCGCCACCACGCCGGGCCCCGAGAAAAAACTTTTAAAGGGGGCCTGGAGCAATAGCCTAGTGGCTAAAGTCCTCACCTTGAATGTGCCGGGATCCCATATGGGCGCCAGTTCTAATCCCAGCCACCCCACTTTCCATCCAGCTCCCCGCTTGTGGCCTGGGAAAGCAACGGAGGAAGGCCCAAAGCCTTGGAATCCTATACCCACGTGGGACACCCACAAGACACTTCTGGCTCCTGGCTTTGGACTGGCTCAGCTCCAGCTGTTGTGGCCACTTGGGAATGAACCATAAGACATAAAGATCTTCCTTTCTGTCTCTCCTCCTCTCTGTATATCTGCCTTTCCAATGAAAACAAATAAATCTTCTTTTTTAAAAATTTAAATGCTTATTTTTACTTAGAGCAAATGAGAGAGGTGGGGGCAGGGAGGGAGAGAAATTTTGTACATGTGGCTTACTCCCCAAATGTCCACAACAGCTGAGGCTGAACCAGTCCAAAGTCAGGAACCTAAAACTCTAGGTATCACACATGGGAAGTAAGGACTCAAGTATTTGAGCCACTCTGCATTAACTCCCAGCAGGCACACTAGCAGGGAGCTGGGAAGCTAGATGGCAGAAACTTTTATTAAATTCTCTAATATAAGGTTGGGAGTACGGGAAAATGGGAGGTTCCAAAGTGGCAGCTTACTCAGTGTGTCATATTGTCTCCTTCCACTTTTCTTTCTTTCTTTCTTTCTTTTTTAAGAAAGAAAAATTAACACCCATGTACATGTAGGAGACTAGATGAAGCTCTTGGCTCCTGGCTGCAGCCCAGCACAACTCCAGCTAGTGTAGTTATTAGGTGAGTGAAGCAGCAGACAGAAGATTCTGTTTGCCTTTCCCTCTCTCTGAAACTGTGCCTTCAAAAATATACACAATACATGCTAAGGAACTCTGCATTACAACAACACAAACCATTGAGAACACCTTCCTAAAACATTTGTCTTTTATAGTTTCTCAAAATCTCAATCTTCTTCCATTTGGTCCCACTGAAGAACTACGCTGTCTTGAGATAAGATTCCTTTAAGCTTGTATAATAAGAAAATATTCAGAGATCTTTATGCTCACTTTGGGAAATTCTAAAATTTAAAACCACTCCAAATTGAAATATGACCACTTCAAAGAAAAGAGGATAATTTCAGAGTTAGGAACAAAACAGCTTTTGATACAAACCACTGCATATTGTAGACACAGTAACCCAGTTTCATTTTGAGTGTAGTGTTTGTTGCCCTCAAGATATCTGCAACTTTCGAGCAAGATTTTTTTTTTTTCATTAAAGTGCCAGATAACAGGTAAGGCTGAGGAAGGAAAAGCAACATATCCTCATGCTGCAATACACCTTGTTTGCTCAGCTTCAGAGAAGCAAAGCATGGTCCCTGTGAACAAACACATATTTACAAACTGCTGCTAGTTACCGGTGACTTAACGCCAACATTTTAACTCAAGGTTAACTTACAGAATGTGTGACAATTCAATGACATGCTCATGAGGAGAAAAATCCTCGGAATACAAAGCTATCCTTGCCTATTTGCTCCATGGCACAACTGCTCAGTAATCATCTGGGCTGCGAAAGGTGATGAAAATGATCAAACACACAAAGTTGGGGTTTTTTTCTTTCTGCAAGGAGTCCCTGATCACCTTTTCCTATAATGATTCTCTGTGCTGAACTGTACCTGACTGTACACTTTTCCCTGCAGTCAGAATCCAACACCCACAGGTCTGAATGAAAAATCTACAGATACTTACGCCCAATGAACTCCAGAAAAACTCCTTTTAGTAAAGAAAAAACTCAGTAGCAATACACACTTGAAACATTTAGATTTTCATTGCTCAAAAAGGTCTAAAAACCCAGCCCGTGAGGTGGCGCCGGGCCAAGAGGCAGCGCAGACACCTAAGCCTGCAGACAAGCGAGTAGGTGGAGGAAATGCTCGTGTGGGGAGATGACTTATACGGGCCTTTTTTTCATCTAGAGAAAACCACAGCTCTCACCAACATGGGTGCTATAAATAGACATAATCTGTCAAAAACTTCACAAACGTTTTGCTTGTTTGCTTTTCTTCTTCTTTTTTTA